GGACCAAAAAAAAAAAAAAGAAAGCAGAGGTCATGCCATGAAGTATTTAGTTTGTCTCTCTGGAGAACTCAAACATCGTCTTATAGAAAAGAATGAGCCAACAGGGTTTTAAGCAAGGAGAAAGATTATCCAACTGAAGTACCAAGACTGAATAGGAGGCCCAACAATGGGATCTAAGGGACTCGCGGTGCTAGAAGAACATTTTAATCTCTCCTCTTTTCATAACCTGATGTGTTTCATTCAGAAACTGGCCAACAGCCAAAGAAATTATGTAAGTAGTTTTAAACATTCACAGTTTTGTGTAATACCTAGTAGTCAATTAACAATAAAGCACTTAATGCACTTAAAAACTACTTACCCTCTCTGTTACTTTATCGACTTCTGTATACATGAAGTTGAGGTTTTGATCAAAATGTTGGTCTTTAAATACACCTTTCCGAATCATCTACAAAATAAAACAGAAAAGTTGGCTTTAAACTATTATGAAACAGCCTGACTACTACCAATTCACACAAATATATTATTTAGACTCTGAGTGTGTTCTCAGAACTCTTAATTGTAAATATCTTTGATAAAGCTAATCCACGTTTCACCTAAAATCATTTAATGAAATGAAATGACATCTCTGAGATGGTGATTTAAAGCAACTGTAGCATCAAGCTGTACTTTCATTATCCAAAATGGACTAACAAGTAACATTCATTCTCTGATGACCAGGTACTTCGTTACCTCTCAACATGACCTGCATCTTTTTTCATGCAGTCTCCCAAATATGTTTGTAAATTACATCAAGATGTACTACTCTGCCTATTAGTGAAGCAGTTCTCTTACTAACGTTTTTCTTTTGATGGCTTTGGATGATTAGATCCACTATTTAAATACCAGAAACAGGAAAGGAGCTAAGGAAGCATGGTAGCTCACACTGGCTTCTATAAATCTTTGTTTTACAGCTACAGTGCTGATTAAGCAGCAGTCCCTCAGGCTATTGGAAACAAACTGGTGTTAGTATCTTACCTTATTTGGCATCTTTCCTTTGAGATCCATGGCAAGCTTCAACATATGGTTATTTGTTTTGCCAGGAAACAAAATTTTTCCAGTATAGAGTTCATATAAGGTACAACCTACAGACCACATGTCTATACCATAGTCATAGCTTTTGCCTATAACTGAAAACAAGAGAAGCTTTAATATATGTGGGTAAGAATGACTGACCATTGTTCATTTTATTTCCAATAACTGGGGACTTAGCTTGGTCTATAACCATAACTTTAACCTCAGTTTGGCAGTTAGTTTCATGTTCTTTCCCACTAATTCTTAATAGAGATTCTAAAACTTAAAAACCTTAAAAAACCAGAGGCATAAGAAAGGAATTAAAGGGGCAAACATATGTATCTCTTCTCTCTTTGCATTTTTACCTTTGGAGAGGGTGCTTATCAACCTCAACCAAGGCAACAGGAAGAGAAAAACCAAAGGTCCCATACAATCCATAAATGTGATAATCAGACCTTGAATAATCAAGAGCAGTCTTCTAAAGTCGAGGATTTTCCACAACTGTTTGCTACTCTTGCTCGACATGATCAAGACTCCTGTCCCAACTACCTTCATTCCACCTGAGGAGGATGAACTTGCTACGGTTCCCTTCCTCATGAATGAACTCGTGCAGCTGCTGAAGTGTGATGGAAAACAGTGCTTAGACATTAAACATGCTGTTTCCACCACACGATGGCCCAGGTCAAAGAACACCATAAAAAACTTACTGATCTCAGGAGCACGATAAAATCTACTGACAAGATACGGCGTTATGTCATTATCCGCAACATGGGAAGCCGACCCAAAGTCGCAAAGCTTTAGAATGGTTTTTGATTCATTAACCTGAAAGACAGTTTCCAAAATTTAATTCATGCTAAGAATTGAGACAAGCAAATAAAATGGGCTTTAAGAAATTACATTAATTTCACTACTGATAACAAGACACTCAATTAAAAATTCCTTTTCTATTTAACCCAAATTTCTAATTATAAAATATTATGAGCACTCAAAATTTTCTTTTTTACAATTAGTGAAACTTTTCCAGTAATACCAAGCACATTTAACAGCCAGCAGCTTTAGAAAAGTAGGGCAGAGAAAAAATCTCACTTCATCTTCTAGAAATCTCAGTAACTTTCTAATCTTCTAGAACATGAAAACATTCACTAATAAAGAATTCAGACTAAAGTTTCAGTTGTCAGAATTACAATGGCAATGAAAGCAAAACGATGAGGTAGATAAATTTGGACCAAAGAAAATATCAAAATACTCTTCATCCAAAGCTAATCTAGACCCCCCCTAAATTTAGTAATCACTTTTAAAGTCTAGAAAACACTAATCTCTTCAACATAGAGAAGATACTAGTTATGAATATGTTAAATCTGGCAAAAGTGATAAGCATGAACTCTGTATTAGTCATTTGCTCTTGTGCCTTTGTAAATATTTCCACATACACAGTAAGAGTGACATCTGCTGAGAAACGGTGGGGCTGCTCCCATGACTGCTGCCACTCATCAGTCAGAAGCATGTTCAGGATTAACAAGTGCAGATAATTCACATTCCAGTGTCCCTTCCCCGCTTCAAAAGAGTCACACACAAACTCCAAATTGGGACTTGGACCTGGCCTACCATTTCCATCCCAAGGAAATGTAACATTTTTAATAACCCTAGGAGCTCTCTAGGGAAATGCCATATGCACGGTTGATGTTACAGACATGGTAAATGATATCCACATTAAGTTATTCAAAAAAATACCCTATGAGGAATGGGGTATGTCTATAACATCAGTGACTGCAGCCTTGGGCTAAAAACATTGGATTTCCACTAACAGGCTATGGGATCTATTTACCCCCTTCAGGAAGAAGGTAAAACACTCTCTAAAATCCATGTTAAGTTCTATATAGGTTAGCATTAATTTAGGGAAAAGGGTGGTGTTGAAAACTTCTAAGACAATAGCAAATATCTTATTCTGTAAATTCCATAGAGTATACACAGGTATTCAATAAATAACTTTAAAAATACTGTATTTTACATAGTATTTGCTGTGGATGCTGTATTCACAATTTTAAAAAGACAAGTTTGAGGTTAAAAGAAAACAATGATGATGTCTAGACAACTCTCCCATTCATTTACAATGTACCTAGTATTTCACTATAATTACCCACTAATCCTATCCCCAGAGTATATTAGATATGCAACACAATGCATGAAAATGACAAGTCCTAGTTATTAATGTCATTATTGTCATAGTCTGGAAAGTAATATTTTAAGACAGTAGAGAAATGGGAACTAAGCAGCTTAAGTGAATTTCAATGAGGTCACAATCTTTTAAGAATTAATCATCATAGCTCAAACAAATTTCTAATAGAGGACTTTGGCTTTCTAAAGGATACATTCCTAGTAGAGGACTTTGGCTTTCTAAAGGATTTCTCCTAGGCATTAACTGTACAAGACTTGATATAATACATTCATTAAAAAAATGAAATGCAGAATATATTACTAGTATCTAAACTAGGAATTCCCCAAGTTGTAAACATGCCTGAACCCTCAAAGAGCACAGAACAGGAATGGGGCTGGGAAAAGAAGTGTGTGCCTCAGTGACACCACTGGAATAACATGCTTCCAGATTCAAAAACATTAAATTTATTGTAAAATCTGGATGTTATGCCTTTCAATACACCAACTAACGATGCCTTTCAATACACCAACCCTACACTGTGGGTTACCAGAAGCCACAGCTTCAAAAGCAAAGAAGAGCAGAAGGGGGACAAGTTACTGAGGCATTTTGAAAACTGAATTCTACATCTGTAGGTTCAAGAAAGGTAAATTCTTTAAGATATCTTTAACTCTATAGGTCCACAAAATTAAGAGATCCATAAACACTTCTTTCAAAATAGTAACAATATGTAGCATTTTTACAAAAGAAAGGAAATCCAATCCATTATTATTGCAGTAGAGCATTCTTGGGTTGGTATATACTCTGATCATTATTCCAAACAAAAGGGGGGGGTCAATAGCTCCAAAAACTTTCACAGACCCAACTTCTAAAACATACAAACTAGTAAAGTCATTCACAATGGCTGAATTATGCTTGTAAAATGGCATTGCTGAGGCAATACTCCTAGTAAAAACAGGTATGGCATATGAGGTAGCCTAGCTATTTGACTGACTTACCAGGATATTGTCTGGCTTAATGTCGGCATGCAGGATATTGCATCTTTTAAGAAGTTTCAATGCCAGGAACAACTGTTGGCTATAGGACCTGACAGCTTTAATGTGAAGACCAACATCTTTACCATACTTTTTTAATACTTCTCGTAAATTCATACTTAAGGAAAGAAAAAACAAAGTAGCAAAGGTCAAAATGTAAATAGAATATGAAGGCAAAAACACAATAAAATTAAGTGCAAAATACAATCTGCAACAAAATATTCTGTTTGAATATTTTCCCTCTCCCTAGTGCTTCTTTTGAACAGATTCGGGTGAAATGAGCACCTGAATCTTAGTTGTGGTAGTACAACACAACTTCTCACTCAAACCCAAATTTCAAAATAAAGAGATATACGGTAAAAACTATTTTGATTTTAGAATAAGTTTACATTTATTTTTCTTAAAGGTATTGGGGTTTGAACACAGGGCCTCATGTTTGTAAGGTAGGTACTCTTTTAACACCCAAACCATACCTCCCCCATACATTTTACTTTACTTTTTTGGAAAGGGTTTTATTTTTTAGCCTAAGGACTGTCCTGGTCCTTCTACTTATGCCTCCTCCATAGCTATAATTACAGAAGCATACCACAAGCCTGATTTACTGGTTAAGATATGATGGGGAGTGTCCAGCTCATTTTTTAAAAATCCAGGCTGGCCTTGAACTATGATCCTCCTTGTTTCTGCCTCCTAAGTAACTGGATTATAGGCTCAGTAATAACCCAAAGCCAAAATATAAAAACTAGAGTCAACTGAGGAGGGAAAAAAAAAAAAAAACTACTCAAATACTCAGTAAATGTATTACAACATTTATGTAAAATGAGGTTAGTAGAGAGGAAGGAAAATATGCATTTCAATTTAATTTAATACCCGGGTTTTGACATTGTACCTGAGAGGCTCAAACACGAGACAGAGATGCTGCTTATGATAAAAGTGTCTGAAGAGTCGAAGACAATGAAATTTGTCATCAGGATCAGCATCATTAAGTTTTTTCAAGAACTCTAGTTCTTTCAAACCAGTCTTTTGCCTAAAATTAAAAAGAAAATGAGGCTAAAACAAATAGATGGACCCCCTCTAGCACATCGAAGATAATATACCTAAGTGGTTGAGTGTTTTGCCTTATTTTGTTTTCAGACGCACCTCACTAAGTATTCAAAAGCTGATCTCAAACTTAAGATTCTCTTCCCTTGGCCTCCTGAGTACTAATATGCACCAACATGCCTCTCTAGTTTGTAGTTTTTTTTTTTAAGAAAATCTATTGAGGAAAAAGTATACTGAGGAAAAGGTGTGTATCATTCTCTTAATAGTTTATACTTGATTTAGTATTTCAATACTTCTAACATTTCAAAACAAGTTCATTTCAATGTGCATTAAAACATGAGTATGTAACTGCTTATTCAAGGAATAAAGTTAAAGCTACAAATATATCCTGTCATTTAATTTTTTGTCAGCTACCCTATGTTCAGTGACAGCTGAAATAAAATCTTCTCATCTCTCATTTCTGGTTTTAAGACTATCACGACAAAAGAAAGAACCAGATAAGCAACAGAAGAAAATAGTGCAGAACAGGTAGTGAAATAAATTAAATATGACTAGTTTATGGTTCTAGTACCTCACATTATAATACATGGTTATAAATTAAATGTCTAACCAAAGAAAATTATTTATGGCACTTAACAAATGGTAGTAACTGTCTTAGATTGTGCCATTAAAAAAATGATATAGAAATCATGCTCACTTGCAGATAATTATCTGTAAACTGTGTTAACAGTTTCAACTCAAAATGTCTTTTGAACTTACATGAGCTCATTGTTTCTGATGATCTTTACAGCCACTTCTTGATTGGCTCTTGCATTATCTCTGGCTCTTACAACATTACTGAATACACCTTGCCCAGTGTAGCCATATACATTGTAACGCTTATCTAGGACTTCACCTATGTTCACACCTGAAAAAAGCCAAATTACAAATATTGTAAATCACAAAGTAGAAAACACCATGCAATCACTTAAAAACTGTCAGATCTCTACTATGTAGTTTTCTAGACACAAAAGAAGTCAAAGTCAGGCCTCTATGGTCATTCTTTTCATGTCCATTTCAGATGGCTGGAAGAGCTGTGAGCCCATCAACTGGGACAAGTTTAACATTAAATAAAGAAAATGTGCTTATGGAACTGTTTCAATTTGTAGTGCTGAATGACTAGCACGCAGAATTCTTTGTATATTGTATTTCTTGTTTCAGAGAAAGATAAGCAGAGATACATCTTTTCCTTCTGAGAATTATCTCTGGGTGGAGAAATTATCAACTGCTTAGATTTAGGCAGCACATCACACAGTCTACCTTACTTCCATCCAACACTCTGGGCTGCTTAGTAGAGCACAACACAAGTCCGTGCAGCAGCTGGATGTGGCACACTTTTTAAGTGATGGCACTGTGATGTGATTTATCACAATTCCCTAAAACAAGTAACTGCATTAAGTTTTTAATAAATGTATATTTACAATAAACACAATGCTTACATTACTATAAACATAGTAAGAAATGACTACTCACGATAATAGCCTTCAGCATCAGTCCAGTTATCTCTGAGGTTAGGATTCTCTTTGAAATCTTTTCCAATGCCAGCAGCTCGAAGACGAGCACTCTGAAATAGATGTAACATGAGTTGCTTACCTATATATCCAACACCTATAACATTTCCTTTATAGCAAAAAATAGCAAAAGCAGTATTTTATTCTGAATTAGTAAGCGATTACTACCATTTATGCAGTAAGTAATATATTGCAAATGCAATATAGCTGAAACATCAAAGTCTCATCAAAGAACACTTAGGGAAACAATTTAATATATCTTCAAAAACTTTTGTGAACATGATTAGGGCATTATAAATTAAAATAAAAACTGAAAATCAGATCTGGTTTTCTTAAGCTGATGATAGACAGATTGTGACAAAAACTACAGACTGGCGCTCAGTTAACAACCATAGTGGCAACTCTTGCCTACCAATTTTCACCATTTCTTTCACTGCCCTGTCCACGTAGTCAACATTTGTACTCTTCCCATATATGCATGAAACGTAGTGACATTCACTGGCTGCACTAGTTGAGCCTGTGTGGAAAATTAAAAAATAAGAATATCTAGTACTTGGGAAGAATCTTTATTGTACATTACTCTGTGATACCCAGATCTTTCTACAATACTATAGTTTAAATATTAGATATTTCCCCATCCCTTCCTTTCCCAAAGGCCCCTGTGAGAAAAGCCTGGTCCCCAAGGTAGTGCTATTGAGAGGTGGTGGAACCTTTTAGACATGGTCTCTGGTGGAAAATCTTAGATCACTGAGGTATGCCCTTGAAGACACAGCAGGGCCCCTGCTTCTCTTCAGGATTTTTCCTTTCTGGCCATGAAATAAGCAGTTTTGCTCTGCTACATACTCTTGGCATGGCCCAAAGCCATATGGACAACAGATTATGGTCCTGAACTGCAAAAACTTAGCCAAAGAGATCTTTTCTCTTTAGAAGTTGATTGTATCAGGTATTTTGTTCTGGTGATGGAAAGCAGAATCACACACATACCATCTAGGCAAATGATGGAGGGGGACACTTAAGACTAGCTCAATATCCATTCATTTCTCCTCATCTCTCTTCCTTTCACCAATGACAGCAGTCCTTCCCTACATCCCTTTTTGGTGGTACTAGGCCAGGGCCTCATGCATGCTGGGCAAGTGTTCTACCATGTAAGCCAAGCTCTCTTAACCTTTCCTGGCTCTTGTTGTACCATGTAAGACATCACAGATTACTTGAGCCAATTTGACCCAAACACTGAAGAATTTGAAGTCCCAAACACTTAATTGCTCATGCTACACAAATTTTATTTTCCATGTTCCATTTGTCTGTCTTTCTCAATAGAGCCTCATACTACAGATATATGGACAGTGGCTTCACTTTTGAATGTGCTCATATTTTAACGTATCTTTGAAAGACATCAATGCCTTTCAAAAGGCACTGGTAAATCATTAAGGAAAATCAAAAAGCCGCCAAAATTTCTTAAACTACCCTTCAATGCCTATAAATCCTCAAATCCTAAAGGTCCTCAACTATCTAAATACAGAGGCACAACGACTCTGCTCGAATAAAGGTATCCCTTATGTCACATATAGATGTATGCAAACATCCCTATTTACATGTACACTGAGATATATGAATACATATGTACATAAACAACTGTTGTACATTAAGTCACTTGGTGTGTAACTTTCATGAAACTCTCAAATTGTTCTGTTGTACCTGTTTTCAAATTTTCAGCGTAAGTTTAGACTTTGAGAAAATGTGCAAATAGTATAGCAGGGTAAGGTATGGTTTCTGGATACTGTTGACTCAGACTGCTATTCTTATTTTCTCTCTCTATGCATGACCACATGTGTTATACTTTTTTTTCTGTCAATAGTTGATTTAAACTTACATCAAAATATGCAGCGAACATATCATCAGATTCTGTAAACATATCAGGTGCTAACAGCTTCTTCTGAGATGAACCTTAAAGGAAATGTACATATTTGAAAAAAGACACACAAAACCAAAACAAAAACAATAGTAATTCATGCTTGTTTTCATTATAGCGTATTAGTTTTAGTTTTCAATTAATACTAAATTCAGAATCATTTACTATACTTAATATATAAAACAGTATCTACGTTTTACTAAAAAGCCATATTTCAAAAAGAACTAATATCAACTTTAGCTATTATTACTTTAAATGAATAAGCAAATAGTTAAATAGTAACTATTCAAATGAAAGTTCTTTTTTTTTTTGTCAACTGTGGGGCTTGAACTCTGGGCTTGGGTACTATCCCTCAACTCTTCAGCTCAAGGTGAGCGCTCTACCACTTGAGCCACAGCGCCACTTCCGGTTTTCTAGTAGTTTTTATTGGAGATAAGAGTCTCACGTGGACTTTCCTGCCCGGGCTGACTTTGAACCGTGATCCTCAGATCTCAGCCTCTTGAGTAGCTAAGCTAGGATTACAGGCATGAGACACTGGCGCCCGGCTCAAATGAAAGTTCTTAAAACAAAAAACTATTCTTAAACTTGCACCTTATTCCTTTTCCAGGGGAGTGAAGTATGGCAGTACATGCACCACTAAAAATGACTTAGGAAGCTACTTAGTATCTAATGAGTAGCCAACAATTTGAATACATGCTCATATCCAGATGACTAGGGAGAAATAAGAAAGATTATACTAATATAGGTTTGTACCATGTTTATTGTAGTAGAAACTTAAGTGTATGTATATATATAGATAGATATATATATTACTAATTTTTAAATGTGTGGTAGTGCATACTTGTAATTCCAACATATAGGGGGCAGAGGCTGAAGGATCTCCAATTTGAGGCCAGCTTGATCTATAGGAGATTCTGGCTCAAAGGGGATTGTGGAGGATGGGAAGAAGGAAGAATCCTATCATGTTAGTTGGTGGAGCCACACAGAGAATTATTTCAAACAATTTTAAAGCACAGAATCATGCCTATACCTTAATATGGGTTCTAAGGACAGAAATTCCACTGAAATTTCCAGTGACAGTACATTTATTTACTGATGTCAGTAGTAAATCATTGTGTAGGACAGTCTGACTACAATAACCTGTCAGTAACTGTGTTATTAGGAATTAAATTCTTCATTGCAAGAGAAAAGAGAAACACAAAATCAAGAACTTACTACATATACAAACTTAACTAAATCCTAGTTCACTCCTTATTTAAGAGGCAAAACAAGTACTTTGTGAAAACCAAACATACAAAATTCAAATATCAATGAACATGAAGATTATTTTTTTAAATGCATGTTCATGGACTGACACATTATCTGTGGCAATACACTGGTTAGAAAGAAGCATCTAAAATAATTACTAAATTACTATATGACCTTATACACAAGAAAGTTCCTGGTATCTGCCCTGGAAATGCCCTGGAAAGTAAAAAAGTTCTTAAATACTGAAGGAATTAATTTAATGTTCATTGGAAACCTTTTTCAAAGGGCTTCACCCATAGGCTAATTGTAGAGAGAATAGATGAGCTTTAAAATAAAAAAATAACAAAAATAGACTGATATTAAGCAGTAAAACCTCATCAGAAACTCAAGGTTTAGTCATCTCTGGTGGTAGCTTGGGGAAATAGCTGTATTTTCTTCTAAAGACTGGTGATTAATGGAAAATAATTTACATATTTAGCTTGTTTTCATATCCAAACTATATTCCAGAGTAATCAGTGAATGGAAACTTCTTTTATGGAAGAAAATAATAGTTAGAACTGTTAAAATTAAATCAGTAGGCAAAGGGTAACTATACTGGATAAATATAGTTCATCACATCTAAACACACAACTTTAATGTCAATAAAAATACAGTAATCAGACATCAAATGTGATTCAAAAATTCAGTAGGTCTTATGAAGTATTCTTACCAAACAAACATTAAATCTATTTGTCTCTAATGCTATTATTCAAGAAAATAATGACACCCAGAGGAAAATGTCATAGGACACAGCAAAGCATCCTCCCGAGTAAATGAAAAGAGGGGAAAAATAAAAAGGTATAAGAATTCTTGGGGATGAAGTGAAGTTTAAGAGATAGACAGACATCCTCTATTTGCAGGTGAAATGAAGTCATGGCTGGAATTTATTTTAAAATACTCTACACCAAGAATATAAGGAGATGAAAATGTAGGAAGTTCAGTATACTATCCAGGAAGTGAATTAGTAGAAACCCATTTATAAAGGCTAAACTTACTATTACATTAAGGTACACTTAGTATCCAGCAGAGCAATATTATTTCCTCTCATTCTTCCCCCAAACCCCAAATCTCACTGGTATGTAAAAAAACCATCACTCACCGTTATTCTGTTCAACTGTCATTAGATTATGCTTCGCTTTCACTGAAGCTTCAAACGTATCAACATTTTCCCGTTCATACTCTTTGACATCAGCAGCTACCCTCTCTAGGATATCATCTGGAGAAGGTGACCGTGTTCTGGTACTGCTTTGGGGACTGCTTGGTTCAGATGGCACAGATATATTGCTGTCTTCAGCAAGATACTTATATTTCTGTAATAACAATATACCATGTTCATAAACAAATGCTATCTGAACATATTAATTTGCTATGAGTTGCTACATTTGCAAAATTAATGTCAATGTAAAACAACAAACATGGTATCAATATCTTGATTGACAGCCACATTCTCTTATATAAATTCCCAAAATTTTCCAAGTTTTCCTATGTTTGGTGCATACTTATCAGGTAGAAAACCTACCTGAATGGGTGAGATGATGTTTATTTTTCTATTTATCCTTTCCCCTCCACCATGTGACTGTTAGTAAATTTTAGGTAGGAATACAAACATCTTTAGACCCTACAGATGGCCCTAAGTGATATACAGATGCACTACATTATCTTTCTAAATTCAAAATACTCTTGAGTTTTGAAGCACACTTGGCCAAGACTGAGAGATAAGGGATTGTGGACCTGAGCAAGGACAAAGATGATTCAACCAAATTTTCAGGGTATAAGTATATTCTACATTTATTATATGAATTTTTACATCTATTAAGAAATAAATAAGTTTATGTCAGAATTCTATGTATACAAAACAACTAAAGAAACTTTTTATGGTGCTGATACTGGGGCTTGAACTCAGGGCCTCATGCTCCCTCTTGGCTTTTTTGCTCAAGGCTGGTACTTAACCCCTTGAGCCACACCTCCACTATTAACTTTTTGCTGGTTAACTGGCAATAAGACTCTCACAGATTTTTCTGCCCTGGCTAGCTTTGAAACTTGATCTTTAAAACTCAGCTTTCTGAGTAGCTAGGATTACAGGTATAAGCCACCCAACTCCCACTTCACAAGTTGTTTATATCTAACCCTTTTCTAAAAGCCTGGTCAGTTGCACTGTTAATTCTTTGAATGAGCAAAACACCTTTATTAAAACAGGGATTACTTAGGAAGAGTACTGACTAAACAATTCTTTTTGCTAATAACACATACCTGAACAATTGCCTGCCTTTGTATTCTTCTCTGTTCTATTAGAGCTTCCTCATCTTCTTCCTCCACATCAAAATCTTCAAGGCTTAAAAAAATTCAAACATCCTTAGATTCTAAAACTGAAATTTACACATCTTAAAATTTAAGGTTAAATGTAATCATTATTAAGCTAGAACAAAGTCTTATACCCTATCACTCAGTACTGAAGTATCTCTGAGAGCTCGGCTAGAAACCCGATAGCACATTCTTCCTCTGTTTTAAGCTTTCTCCTTGCCTATTTCATGACACTACAATTGGGGAAAAGATCTCAAACTTCTAAAATGTCACTACTAGCATTCTTGTGACCTAAGAAAAGGTTACCTCTCTCACTTTTGTTTTATCACCTATAAAACGAGAGGACTGGGACAAGTACACTGTTAACTTTTTCTGGGTCACAAAACTGAAAACTCATGAAAACTATCAGTCTACTCTATCAAAAATGAACAGGCACTGGTGGCTCAGACCTGTAATCCTAGCTACGCAGGAGGCTGAGATCTGAGGATCACAGTTCAAAGCCAGCCTGAACAGGAAACTCTGTAAAGACTTATCTCCAATAAACCCAAAGTGGCACTGCGACTCAAGTGGTAGAATGCTAGCTTTGAACACAAAGAGGATCAGAGACAGAGCCCAGACCCTGAGTTCAAGCCCCAGGACCAGTGTGTGTGGAGGGGGAAATCCTGTCATTGTTTCACCCCCAAAGACCTCATTAATCTTTATAAGGGACCCAACAAGCCATCTATTCTGTGACTCTACCAGGAACTATATAGCCCAGCCTTCTATAACCCAATATTCTTTGTCATTAAGCTTTAATCTGGGCTTCTCAACATTAGCAAAGGATGCTGAATTCCTGACCTTCTGTCACTAGATGCTGCCCACAAATGGCTCCAAGAAGGCAACAGGCACTTGCTGAGAACTACTAGTTTTGTTTGCATCTAAAATTTTTTTCTAATATTCCATTAGTCACTGAAACTTTATCCATATTCATGTTGCAATAGACATACTTACTGCTATCCAATGTTGTGTTCAAAGTACACAACATTTGATGTAAATTAAAAGGTTTAAATTTGGTACAGAAAAAGTTCCCTGTAAACTAGTAATGCAGACTGGTAGCACTAAAGAATATTTCTGTTGTTAAAAAAAAGTTTATGAGAAATTATGGCCAAATATTCACTCAGGCCAAATTGGACACCCCTAAATTTAGAAAACCACTACTACCTCTGTCATAAACCTCCTGGAGAGTTACTGAAGATTAACTTTTAAACTCAGGATAAAAATCACTTAGATTCACTTCCAAAGTCAGGTGGAAATCACTTTATAATTTGCATTTAAACAGTTTCTCTAAACTAGAATAATTAAATTATGGGAAGGCTCTATTCTTACTTATCATCAGATGAAGACTCTTGCTCAACCTTCATTCCTTCTGAAAGACTTCCTTTAAATTTGTCTTCTTTTACTTTGCTTCTGCTCCTTCGTCTACGACCACCCCGTGATCGAGATCTCCTTCTCAAGCGTGATCTGCTCCTCCGACCTCTATCCCTGTTTCAAAGAAAAACAGATACCTACATTAAAAAAAAAGCCAATTAAAGTGGAAAAAAGGCACATGTGCAAGGCAGTGAATATGAGAACTCTGTACTCTACTCAAAAGCTGTAAACCTGAAAGTCCTTAAAAAAAAAAATCTATCAACAGGTACTGACCTGTAATCTTAGCTACCAGAAGGCTCAAGTGGAGAATCATGAGTTTAAGACTATTTTATGCTATGCAGGAAAGTCCAACCTCAAAAAGCCAAACAAACAAACAAAAACACCTAGTTACTTAGGGAAGTTGAGATTGAGTCTTAAAAGGCTAGACGTGGAGCTGTGGCTCAAATGGTAGAATGCTAGCCTTGAACAACAAATAAAAGATCAGAGACAATGCACAGGCCCTGAGTTTAAGCCCCAGGACCGACACTAAAACAAAAAAAAGGTAAACAGTAGATCATCAGAATTGGAGGCATAGTTCAAGTGGAGAAGCAAACTCAAGGTCCTACGTACAAACCCCAATACTATAAAAAATAAAATAAAATAGCAAAACATTAAGACTGAACCATCAGTTTAATTAAAGATAAGTGAAACAGCTAGTATTCTTACCAACTTTTAAGTTAAAAAATGTTTCTCATGAATATGAACTTGACTGTGAGCTCCATTAGAACAAGAATCTATTGTTAATACTTTGTATTTTTCCCCTCTGCTGGTTCTAGGGACCCACCAGGGCCTTGCACTTGCTAGTCAAGTATTCTACCACTAAACATCACAACCACCACCTCCTTTTATATGTTTTTATATGTTCTCACTGTGTAGCCCAGGCTGGCCTTAAAACTTGTGATCCTCCTTGCTCAGCCTCCTAAGTACTGGGATTACACGTTTGAGCTAAAGACCACACCTGCTCTATGTTGCATAGAAAAATGTTTAACCTGTATTTGTAGATGAATATAGTAAATATGAGGTCTTTCTGGTCTCCTCAGTAGAAATATACAACCACTAAGAGTCAATTGTTGTCTAGTTAATGTTGTTCTTTTGTGAGGGAGTAGTAATAAGGTTTAAACTCAAGTTGCTGGCATAGGGAAGGGGACATTGATCCAGGCCCCAGAGACTAAGTCCTCAACAGGACAGACAACACTCAACCACTGTGCCAAACTGGAACTCAGGAAGGGGGGGGGGGCGGTGGTCAGGATTGGTTAAGTCCCCATGTGGCAACTGGTCAATACAGTATGTCTCAGAAGAGAATAGGGAAGGTGGCGCTCAGGCACTCTACCACTTGAGTCATACTCAAGTCCTTTTAGCTTTACTTATATTTTAGACAAGGTTTTCTGTTTTTGGCAGGGCCAGACAGGAATGCAATCCTACCTATGCTTCCTGAGTAGCTAGCACTATAGACACTTACCACACATAGCTTATTAAGATAGGAGTCTTGTTCACCTCTTTCCTGGCCTCAAACTTCCTGATCTCTAGTTAGGGTTACATCCTGGCTCTATACTTGTTTTTAATTACATTACTAATCAGGAAAACTTATCAAGAGTGTTATGTTTCAAAAACTATAATTTAATGGAAGACTGTTGCTAAGTACAAGAAAGAATGTAATGAAACCTTAAGTTTAATGCTATCAGACATTTTTATAAATGCCCTGAGGTCTTGGCCCTTATCAAACAAAAACAAAGAGAAACTAATATCATACATACTTTAAGCATTATGAATTTAGAAAAATATTGCAACCCTTCAAATGGTCTACATCAAAGGATTAGCAAGCTTCCTGTTATTACATCTAACCATATTAACCTCAGATTTCTTCTGAAGTCTTACTAAAAATGATCACAGCAAAGAAACAACTTAAGAAAATCCACAAGCAGAATGCAAAGACATAAGACGGCAAAAAACAATTGAAACATGCCAACTAGATGGAGAAGTAACATGAAAATTATGCAGAATCTTAGTATAATAGGAATAGCTATACCAGTGCATGCCTAGGAACTAGTCATTGTATTCTCTGAAGGAAAAAGTGAGAGGCAAAAACATTCTAAAATACTTGACTCAATGGAAAATGGTCATCACTCCCTTCACAGTGCAATAGCATTTAAGGTTTACTTTCTTACAATATGAATGACTAGACTTCTACTAGTAGCCATGTCCAAACACGCCAAGAGATTATAAAGTTCTGGGAAAATGCCCAAGAGAAAAAAACTGCAGTAACTAATATCCTAGTCTCTACTTATCCCCAAATGATAGCCAGAATGTAGAATTCTATATTGCCTGTATGCAAGACTGCTTCTATCCAGCTTTCCTAGTGCCTAGCTATCAAAACAGATAATAATGAAGCACCCTGCTGGATGCTGATGGCTCATACCTGTAATCCTAGTTACTCAGAAGGCTGAGTTCTGAGGATCAAGGTTCAAAGCCAGCTTGGGCAAGAAAGTATCTGAGACTCTTACCTCCAAAAACTACTCAGAAAAAGCTGGAAGTGGCACTGTGGCTCAAGTGGAGAGAGCTAGCCTTGAGCCAAAGCAGCTCAGGCCAAGTGTTCAAGCCCTAGGACTGGCAAAAAAGCAAAACTAAAAATGAAGCTCCCTGCTGACTGAGGAAAACAGCAAAGAGAACCAGGGAATATCAACGTATTAAAAAAGAAAGATTAAAAAAAGGTTTATAAACAACATTATCTGAGAGACAAAACATGCTATTCCTCAAAACAATAAGGTGCTTAGAAAAATAAGAGAATAAGAAGGTAGAAAAATAAAAGGGAATAAGAAGGTAGAAAGAAAATATCTAAACTGAACACAGAATAAAATAATAAACAGGAATAAGAGTGAGAAAATAAAAGCAAGTAGAATAAGGGAGACTGTCTTTTCTGGGGGTAGGTACTCCAAAAATAGAAAAGAAAATAGAAGTCTATACTTCTTGCTGTATAAGAAGGTTTATGTATGGACCAGCAAAATAAATAGGGTGAGAGGAAAAAAAAAAATCAACACACTGCATCACATTATGGTGAAATTTTAGAACACAGGAATGAAAAAAGGGAAAGTCTTTTTAAAATGTTCACGAGTCAGAATAGGACCCTCAAAGACCAATACTGGAACCTAGAAAAACAATTAACAGTGAGAGATCAGTGTGGAGTAGAAGACCAGGAGCAATCAAAGGAAGGTGTTCTTTTCTTCCCTCCAGCATTTGATTAATAAAGAGCATCTGATCACAATGATTATGCACCCTTGGCATACACAAAAATTCATTCACATTAAGCAGAAGAAAATAAATGTGTTAAAAAAAAAATCCCAAAACTACCACAGTACTTTCAGACCATGTGTTTTCAATTTTAGGAAGCTAGTGAAAAAAATCCTCAGAAATATGGAAAGATAGCTAAAATACAAGTCTTCGGTTGTTGTCTTTTCAAACTATATTCAATGGAAAATATTGAAAGAGTAGTTCTGGTTAATGTATATATGGATTAAAAAATGACTACCTGCTTTAAAAACCATCTTTTTTATTAATCTTATAAGTACATGGCCTCAGGTTAAATAGTTTTCTAACAGTGAATAGGTTTTTGCCAGTTCTTGAGAAAGAAATAGAAAAGAAACTGGGCTACTTATTTATAATTTTGCTAGTTAAAAATAAATAAATAAATAAAGCCTCGTTCATTTAGTGTTTACCTCTGTGTTAAAAGAGGTAAAAAGTCCTGTTTTTAAAAGAATAATTTGAGATTTTACCTGGGGGTATGGTACAAGTGGTAGGAAGTACCAGGCCCTTAGTTCAAAAACTCTACTATTGTCCAGATTAACTTGAGGTTTTATTAATTAATAATTATGTAAATCTGAAGGAAACCTATACTGAAGAAAAACTGGCATTGAAATACCATTTGTTGGAAGAAGGAAACTGGATCACAGCCAAAATTTTTGAGAGAAAAATGATATACAGGAAAATCTACCAACTGAGCTAATTAAAGGCTCAAAAACATTAGTAAATCAAAAATTTAACATTTTTACCTCCTCCGGGGAGACCTGCTTCTTCTTCTTGGAGACCTGCTACGTCTTAGTGGAGAACGGGACCTCCTTCTAATGGGAGATCTACTTGTTCTTCTTCGGGATGGAGACCACCTATTGATTGGGCTGGCATCTTTTGATCTTTCACGTCTACTCAGTATATCATCTCGAGGTCGTGTTCTTAAGGGGAGCAAATCAAAGTTAAAAGAAATTCAAACCAAAAGGATATCTAGAAAAGACAACACTGATCTCATGACAGTAAATACTGGTCAATTTAATTTGTGTCCAATTTAAATTCAGATGATGACAATGAGATTTTGGTGTTAATAGAATAACTAAAAGCTATTAATATTAAAATTAAAGTTGGACTACTGATTCAAATTTCAGATAAGCTCAATTTCAGTTTCTTTTTGTATCTTGTCATTTCTGTAATTAAGCATTTTATTTTTTAATTGAGTTTTTATTGTGAAAATACTGTACAGAGCGGTTGCAGTTACATGAGCAAGGTAAATGAGTACATTTCTTATCCAGCATTGTTGGCTCCTCCTTGGTTTTTCCCCTACCATCCCTTCCCTCCGACCTCCTCAGCTACATTTCCCCCTCCCCCACATCTAAATTGTAAAGTTTGTTTTTCGACCTAGTGTCTTGTACATCTCATTGTTGCAACGGACAAACTGTAACCCTGAACAATTTGTTTTTTCCCTTCCCCTCCCAAAATTATACCAACATCAAATACAGTGAAAACAGGGGTTATATTGTGGGGGAGGGACATACAAAGCACCAAAAAAAAATAAATCACATGTTACCTTATAAATCTGTTAGAAACAATAGCAAGGAAGAAAAAAACCACTTGTGTCCCTATATTGGGGTTCATTTCACTTAACATCATCTTATCTCACCTTTTCTGCTTGTCGTAGACATATACTAATATTATTGCAACTAAGGGAAACCATGGTATTTTATCTCACCTTTTCCTATTGTCCTAGACATATACTAGCTATTGCAAATGATGGAAACCATGGCATTTTATTTTTAATGTCAACTGAATGACAGCCTTACAATTAACCTCAGAACTAAGGGAGTTATTTCAGCCTCTTTCACTTAAAATCAACTTTTCAACAATTTTCTCATAAGTACCACCCAGTGAATTCATTCTTATTTAACCACAAAAAATGTGATCATCATAGGCCTTCTATAAAACTTAATTTCTTCTAGCCTGAGCAGAAAAAAAACCTCTAAGATTCCATCTACCAAATAATCAGCAAAATGCTGTACTAGAAGTGTGGCTTCAGTGGTAGAAAGCCTGCTAGCAAATGTCAATACTCTGACTTCAAATCCTAGTATCATCAAACAACAACAACAAAAACCCCATTTAATCTCGTGAGGATAAATTATACATAAGGTTTGCTATCACAATGTAATATCACCACATCACAAGAACAATTCTCCACTTGGTAAAAATACAACATGACTTACATGCTTGGACATGCTATCTAGAACTACCCCCCCCCAAAAAAAACACCTCAAACTTTCTCTCTTCAGTCAAAGTTAACAAGTAGACTTGATTCAGATCTGTAGTTCTTTATGGTAAACACTGAGAGTCACTTGAGAAAATTCTTTTTTAATCCATATACAATCTGCTTATAGAAGAAGTCTATTCAAACACTGGCTAAAAATTGTAAATAAATGAAATAAAAGTATAGAAAAGATTCAGATGAAAATATTGTTTCTTTTTGGGGTAGTGAGTTTTGAATTTTCAGCTTTGTTCTTGCTAGCCAAATACTACTTGAGCCCAGCCCAAAATTATTTTAATATTAAGAGAATGACAAGATGGTATTATATACTAATTAAGCACAGGTGGTGTAAATTTTCTGGAAGGACATATGGGAATACAGAAGACTGCAAATTTATTTTATCAATCTACTCCACAGACAAACTTTACACAGAATCAGTGGACTTCTTTGTACAAAGTAAAATAAAAAAATCCATTTTCATCAGTTTTAACAACAACACACACAGCTACACTGTCAAATAATGTTACTGCTGTTAATAATAAAAGAATTTAAGCCAGATGCTGGGCGCTCACGCCTGTAATCCTAGCTACTCAGGAGGCTGAGATCTGAGGATCAAGGTTCAAAGCCCGCCCAGGCAAGAAAGTCTGTGAGACTCTATTCTCCAATAAACCACCAGAAAACTGGAAGCGGTGCTGTAGCTCAAATGGTAGAGCATAAGCCTTAAGCTGAAGAGCTGAGGGACAGCACCCAAGCCCAGAGTTCAAGCCCTATAACAAAAAAGAAAGAAAAAAAAAAAGAATTTATATAGAGAGATTGAAGGCTTGGTTCAAGGCTCAAGTAATAGAGCACTAACCAATGAGCAAAAGCAACATGTACCAAATTTGAGTACCAGTCTCAGACAAAAATAAAAAAATTCATGTGATGCCACTGAAACATTTCATGAAAAAGCATACAATTTGCTATGATTTCATTTGTAGGAATATTTATATTCACATAACTGTATGTGTACAGAAACTGAGCTAACAGAACTAACTTTAGGAATGGTTGTAGATGGATGAGGCAAATAATTCATAGGGTTTGGCATTATTTGGATTGTTCTTTAAGTAGGAAATTCTATCACTAAATTTTAAATTAATTTGTTTCAAAACTCAGGTCTGGTCTTAAAGTCTCTGAGACTCTTATCTCCAATTAAACACCAAAAACCCAGAAATGGAACTGTGGTTCAGGTGGTAGAGTACTAACTAGCCTTCAGTAAAAAAGCTCAGAGATAGGGTCCAGGCTGAGTGCCAGCCCCAAGACTAGCAGCGAAATAAACAAATAAACAAGTCATTATTTTCTCTTAACTGAAAGCAAATTAAAAGGCTACCAGAATAAGTTAAAAAATAAAAAGCGGGGCTGGAAAGGTGGCTTAGTGGTAGAGCGCTTGCCTTCCATGCATGAGGCCCTGGGTTCGATTCCTCAGCACCACATAAGCAAAAAGAA